CTTCTTAGTTGAAGTCTCTTGGGTTTTAAAAATTTGCAATTTGTCACAGAACAATTCATTTCTCCTCATTGTATTTCATACAATATACTGTTTAAATGTTGTGATGGTTCCTGAGACCATACTTTACATACAAGATTGGCTGTTGATATTCTAGTATCACTTCCTATGCCCATCTCAGGTATTCTCTGAAACTGGAAGCAGTTAAAAGCTCAAACTGCAAGCAGTACAGATCCCTAATCTTGCCACTATCCCCAGGTCTGGTCCCTGGTAGTGGGGGAAGTGGGTGGGGAGGGGGGATGTGGGCAGAGATCATATAAAGTGTCTTGAACTGAGTTATACACTCAGTTGACTAAAGAGCCTCATGAAAGCCCTAGCCTCTGAAATCTATCATCAATAAAAGAACCAATGATATCTAATAAGTCTCTATGAAGCCAGGGAAACTTTCTAACATTTACTTTAGAGTAAAAAGGACCTCAAGGGACAAAAGCCAGTGTCATTTTGGGGTAGTATTCTTGAGTACAGTTATCCGTTATGCTGTCTGTGGGCCAAATGCAGCCAAAATAACTTGGCTGGTCTATTTGGGACTTGTAACAAATAATGTTCTTTGCTAATGACAATTACTTAAAACAAACATTTGCAATGAGAAAGTTGAAAGCTTTACTATACACGTGAAAACACTTAAGTTCACTTGCTACTAATAGAGTACCTGTGATAATTAGTTGAGTTCTGAGAGTTTATTCTGGTCAAGAGTAAAAGTTGGTGTGCTTTCCTCCCATTACACTATTCTTCAGAAGAGTTCCTGCTGTGACCATCCTAAGTCAAGGTCACCACATGATGTTAGGCATCTCAAGACCTAGAATTTTCCTCAATTCCTATTTATACTCAACCATCAATTTACAGAATAATGTTTTTAGTAAAACTACTTTGATGTTTGTGGTTATTTTGTTTATTATCAAGCATTCAGCAGGGGAGCTCATGTCAACTAGCTAATTAGATTTACTGAGCTGCACTGTCAAGTAAAAGATGTTTTGGAATTGGGGACACAAAAGCACAAATTGTTAGATCCCTGTGGCTCACAAGATGATGTTTTCTTAGTGAATTAATAAGGTAACTGTTCAGACAATTAAAACTATATGGGAAAAATAAAGTCAGAACCAAACTTGACTTGTAGACTGAGCAGATGCAACCTCATTCCTTTGCTACTGCTGGGCTGCTTTCAGCTCAGGAGAACCACAGAATTCTAAGAACTGCAGAGACATTTCATGAAATGGAAAATCGCAATGTCAGACAGGATCCATACACTGTTGATGAGTTTTAAAGATATTTTAATTTTTACATACCTGTCTTTGAAAGACAAAGTATCAGGATGTGTCTGAATTATCAAGTATCTGCTTTTTGGGTGTGGCTTAATTTTAGAATTCTGAAGCTAAGCATATGAACCCTAAAACTATCTTAAAATATTTTATCAATGTTGGGGTGCCTGGGTGGCTCAGTCGGTTAAGTGTCTGACTTCAGCTCAGGTCATGATCTCATGGCTCATGAGTTCTAGACTAGCATCAGGCTCTGTGCTGACAGCTCAGAGCCTGGAGCCTGCTTCAGACTCTGTGTCTCCCTCTCTCTCTGTCCCTTTCCTGCTCGCACTCTGTCCATCTCTCTCTCAAAAATAAACTTAAAAAATGTTTTTAAAATATATTTTATCCATGGGTAGTATTTGAGATCATCTAGCTCAATAAAAATGTATTCATAAAATGAAACCCAATTGTGCAGTACTGTTAAGAATGTTAACCTGTAATTGAGATGTGCCATAATTCTTGAGAATGTCATTCTGTGAAGTACCAATATTTTTATGAATGATTAAAATTTATCACTGATTAGCTTCAAGCTGAAAACATAGTTCTTCTATAAGAATAAATTTAAGAATCTTATTAAACAGGCTGCTTACATTTTATTCTAAAATAAGTCTACACTATAGCGAACAGACTACATACTTCATTCGTATTTTTAATAGAAATCCATCTGCCTTATAGATATACAGATTTTTGATCATGGGCTCTCATACTGCAAATAAATGTGGGCATTTCTACTCTATATGAAGCTCTTATTAACTGGCAAAATACATAAAGCAGCCATAGAAAATAAAAGTAAGATAAATAGTTGTATATTTTGCTGAACCCATCTAGATTTTGAGATATTACAACAAGGATCTAAGAGGGAAAAATCTAAAATACAGCAGAAGAAAAGCTAAACAAGACATTTTATTTTGGTTTAGTCATTAAATGTCAGTCCAAACTCAAAATATACAGTACTTTAGGAAAGATAAAGGCTTAAATACCTTACAAAAGGGGTAGTACATTTATAGGACTCATTACTCTAAGTAAAAAACCACAGGTTCAAAAATATAAACATGCTCCACAAGGATTTAAATAATTTATAGTAAAAAACTCGGTGCAGTTCTGAGGGCAAGACATTCTGAGGCCAGTATGATGAAAGGCAAAGATTTCATCAAGAAAACGGTCCATTTTTTAGGGAGGAACACAAAAGCTAGAACTCACTGTCTGCCCTGAATGGCATTTCTCCTATTCATCCGCACAGTCACTCACTCATACTCACTGCAAGGTACTGAATACTTGGTCTTAGTTAATATCTAACCTAGATATTGGGAACAGCAGAACAAGAGGCAGGAAAAACAAATCCAGGTATTTTCAAATGATCCTTTTTTTCTTTTCAGACAAATGTTTTTATAGCAAAATAGTAGAACCATACAGTAAATCTACTATTTTGGCATGTCTATATATTTAATACCTTCATTTAACACCTTCTTTTCCCTGCTGAGAAATCTTTGGCTGTGTTATTCAGAGCACAGAAACCAGCAATAGGGAGAATCCACATAGTGAATCCATTCTCTCCTCCAACCTTCTACCTTTTAATAATTGCAACCGGACATAAGACTTATTCTTAAATAGAAATTTAATCTCATCCTGTTCAACATGTAGCTTCAATACTGAGGAAATATGAAGCCTTTACTACAGTCAGAGACACCTGGCTAGGCTCCCACTTTTGGAATGAAGAGAGAGATCAGACACTAATTTGTCCAGTGCTCCTCTAAAATGACTTGAATGTGTAGTTTATACAAAGTTTGGCACATATTGAATCTTAGAGGTGTAAAAGAAGGGGCTTCAATGCAGAAGCCAAATACTTATAGACCTTTACATAAGGAACATGAAGAGAAAAGAGTTCTACTCTGAGTTCTGTAAAAACAAGCCATACGATGTTAAGTAATCCACTTCACCCTTAGCTGTTTGCCAAGTAGGGAAGAAGAAGCCTGTTCTACCTCCCCCATAACACTGTTGTAAAAATGCCAAAATACTATAATAAATGCAATACTTATGATGAGGTCCCAGCCAGGGGAATTCTATTGATAGGAGTCATTTTTTATAGGTATGTAATAAAATAGGTATATCTTCAGAAGGAGGACAGTTCACAACATGTCTTGGAAATGAAATCCACTTTGAAGTCATCAGCCTGGTTTGTCTGGAGTTCATACTCCCAGGAGAAAGCCAAAACAAATGCAGTAGATAATCTGTTCTAAGAAACCCCCGGAGCTGCGTCCATCTCTCTGTCTCTGTCTTTAACAAAGAACTCATTACTTTGGCCTCTTCCCATTCCTACTAACATAATATGCGTGCTCCTTTTTATTAAGGGATAATAATATTGTCTCTGAACATTCTCCTTTAGTCTTGAAAGGCCTGTCCAGTAATTATTACAAGTCCTTATATATTCCAATATTATCTGCAATTACATTTTATCTATCAAATTTTCTTGTAGAAGGGGAATGAATTTGTTTTGACCTAACTGTGTTTAAAAACACCCCAAATGACTCAAAATCCTATGTAGCCAGGCAAGGAAGCAACACATTCCTCCCACAACCAGCCTCCGGATCTCTACAGTGACATTTATGGAGCTACAAGATGAAACAAAAATATTGGAGGTGATATTGATCTGGACTTGAGAAATCCGGAGAGCTTCAGGGCTCTTCCACATTAAGACATCTCTTGAAGGAGACACTTTTAGTCCATCACTAATATAACATAGAGCTGAGAGTGCTCACCTTAGTATCTGCCATAAAAATTAATGAACTCTAAAAAGATGTGTCCTTTAATGACATAGTTATTAAAAAGGAGTAATTATGGGATTAACATAAGTACTATATACCAAATAAATTTCTGTGACCAAATAATTCTCATATTCATCCACATCAATTACTTCTTTTTTTTTTTTTTTTTTTACTTTTTTTTCAATGTTTATTTTTGAGAGAGAGAGGGGGAGAGAGAGAGAGAGAGTAAGAGAGTGAGTGAGTTGGGGACGAGCAGGGAGAGGGAGATACAGAATCTGAAGCAGGCTCTAGGCTCTGAGCTGTCCACACAGAGCCCGACATGGAGCTCAAACTCACTAACCACGAGATCACGACCAGAGTCGAAGTTGGACACTTAACCAACTGAGCCAACTAGGTGCCTCCACATCAATTACTTTTTAAATTAAAATGATAATTCTTATTATCTTATTTTATTGCCAGTATGCCAAACTGGCAATAAAAACAACACTATGTATATCTATTCTTCCCATGAAAATATCTCTCATCTTAAAAATTAAAGCATAAATAGTACCATCTGTTAAGGTTTTTTCTTTTTTTTTTTTTCCTTATAGGAATGGGTTTCAAGGGGAGCCTGGGTGGCACAGTTGGTTAAGCATCTGATTCTTGATCTAGGCTCAGATCATGATCTCACAGTTCATGAGTTCAAGCCCCGTATCAGGTTCTGTGCTGATGGTGCAAAAACCTGCTTATAATTCTCTCTTTCTCTCTGCCCCTTTCCCACTTGTGCACACTCTTTCTCAAATAAATATGTAAGTAAATAAATAAAACTTTAAAAATTTAAAAATAAATTTAAAAATAAAAAATAAAACTATTATAAAGATACAGAGTAAAGGTTTTTGAAGTTTACCTAATTAATTTGGTGGCTTCTGCCTCGTCAGCAGTTGGTAAAGCAGTCATCTTCAGGAAAACCACGTCAAAGGGACAATTCAGCAGAAGTGTTGCTGCCCCCTCCACATCCCTGACAGTTACAGAGACTTTTGCAATATTTGAAAAGGATTTCTGTGCAATATCAGCCAGGTACTGAACAGTGACATCTCCAACTAATAAGAGGTCTATTTTTGCCTGAAAGAGAAAGAAAAAAAGCAGAAGTACCACATAATTAATACCGGAGCACAGGGAAGATGTCATGTATGAGAGAATAAAATAAAGGTGACAAATAACACCAGGACTGACTGTACAAGTAGACTGAATGGTCAACTATAAGCACCTCGGGGACAGGAACTATTAGTTTCTTGTCCTCAGTACTTAGTAGTGAGTGAATCTGAAGGTCAAGCTATGTTTTTAGGTCTCTTTTTATGTTTACTTATTTTTGAGAGAAAGAGACAGAGTGTGAGCAGGGGGAGGGGCAGAGAGAGAGGGAGACACAGAATCTGAAGCAGGTTCCAGGCTCTGAGCGGTCAGTATAGAGCCTGATGCGGGGTTCTAACCCATGAACTGTGAGATCATGACCTGAGCTGATGTCATATGCGTAACCAACTGAGCCACCCAGATGCCCCTAAGGTCACGCTATTTTTAAAAGTTCTGCCTATAAATAACTACTGTACTGTGATTTTCCTCTCAGTTTCTTTCTCACTCTAGAAACAATAGACAGGATTCTTAAAGCCCAGTTTCCTAATCACTCATCCTGCTGGAAAAGCTGTTTACTAATGAGAAAACCACTCTCTTAAACCACTTTTTTTTTTTAAATAAAACACACATTCCAGAGAACAAAGTAAGATTTAAATTCCTATATTCCAAGAGACTTTTCTTTAAATGGACTATATGTGCCCTTCAAACCCCAATAATTTTAGAGCCAAAAAGCATCTTTCTTTCCTATGGGGGTTATTTTCAAGCACATTCAATCAGGAAAAATATAATTTCCATCTTCACCTTTTATTTTCCTATGTTTTATTCTCTACAGCTATTGAACATAATTCACTAAAACCGTCAAAGAAGGGAGAGGCTTAAATTAATGGAAACAGCAGACACTTGGGAATGGCGAACCACAGGCAGGTCCACACGAGAAAACAGATCTGCGAGCTGACCAGAACTGAAGCCAAAAAAGCTGGATGAAGAAATCTGAAATACCAATGAAGAGAAAGGCAGCTTGGGGCGCCTGGGTAGCTTCGTGGGTTAAGTGCCCAACTTCGGCTCAGATCATGATCTCATGGTTCACGGGTTCGAGCTCTCCATCGGTTCTGCACTGACAGCTCAGAGCCTGGAACTTGCTTCAGATTCTGTGTCTCCCTCTCTCTCTGCCCCTTCCCTGCTCATGCTGTCTCTCTGTCAGAAATAAATTTAAAAAAAAAAAAGAAAAAGGAACTGAATTCTGATATATGCTACAATGTGAGTGAACCTTGAAAACATTATGGTAAGTGAGATAAGGCAGACAAAAAAGTAGAAATGTTGAATGACTTTATTTACATGATGTCCCTTAAATAAGCAAATTCAAAGAGACAGAATATAGAATAGTAGTTACCATGGGCTGGGGGCAGAGGAAAATGAAGAGTTAGTGTTTAATGAAATACAGCGTTGCTTTTTTGAATGATTTTTTTTATAAGTTCTGAAAATGGACAGCGGTAAAAGTTGCATAGATAGCATCATAAATATACTTAATACCAATGTACACTTAGAAATGGTATAAGTGATGTAGAAACTAATTTGACAATAAACTATTTGTAAAAAAAAAAAAAAAAAAGAAATGGTATAAGTGGTAAATAGTATATTATGTATATTATACCACAACCTTAATAAAAAGGAATGAGGTGCTGACATATTCCACAACATGGATGAAGTCTGAAAACTTTATGCCAAGTAAAAGGAGCCTATCAATCACAAAAGACCATGATTCCATTTACATGAAATATCCAGAGTAGACAAATCCATAGAGACAAGTACTTAGTGCTTGCTGGGGGTTACGGAGGTTGGAGTGATTGCTAATGGGTACAGTTTCCTTCTGGAAGGAAGAAGATGTACCAACATTTACTGTGGTGATGTTAGTCCACTTCTGTGAATAGCAACCATGGAAGTGTACACTTTAAATGGGTGAATTGCATGGTTATGAATCATGTGCCAATAGTTTATTTTTAAAGGAAAAGTAGAGAAATAAATACGCCTTTGTACAAGTCTAAGTCCTAGAGGTAAAACTATAAGACTAATAGGTAATTTTTTGCTTTTGTTTTTCAACTTAGATACTGCCAAATTGTTCTCCCCAAAAGAAAAATTTATATCCCCACCAACAGTGTTTAAGAGTACCATTTCCCCAATCCTTAATATGACTATTTTTTTTTCATTTTTGCCAATATTGTGAGCAAAACAAAAACAAAAACCTCAGTCTTCCTTCTTGTTTGCTTTTTTTCACATTAGTTGTGAAGTTGGGTACCTTTTTATTGTAGTGGTAATTTCCACTTCTATTTATTGCATATTCTATTTATTATGCTTGTCTATTACCTTTTTCTACATTCCTATTTGTTGTTTATCATTTTATTATTGCTCCATGGTTTATATATTCTGGATCTGTTAACTACTTTTTTCCACTTGTCATGGCTTTTAACTTCATTATAAGATCTGTCACAAATAAATGTTTAATATTTAGTAACAACCGCCTACTGTTTCCTTTATGAGTTTGGTGAATTTCGTCTTGCTTTCAAAGCCATCTCTATTCACATTATTAAAATTTGCTTTCATAGTGTGTTCTAATACTTTTACGGTGCTATTTTTTGCATTTTGCTTTTTATGTCGTATGGAATTTATTTGGTGATGTATCTAATTTCATCTCTTTCAAATGCAGGGCTAATTACCCAGGTAGCCTTATTGAATAAATTTCTCCCAGTATTTTCAAATGCCACCTTTATAGATCTATAAATGTATGATTTCCTGGGCTTCCTTCTGACCCACTGATCTAGTTGCCTATTCCTGATTAATAAGACATTAATGACTAGCTTTTTCTTTTATATTTGATAGAGCTTATAGTTCCCTCCTTGCTACTCTTCAATTTCATTCTTAGATATTTCCCACAATTTCTCCTCCAACAGAATTTTAGCATCAGGTTGTCAAGTTCTACAAAGAAGCCTGTTAACATTTTGATTGTGGCTGCATGTATTTTACAGATTAATTAGGGAATATCATTACCGTATTAAATCTCCCTATTTAAGAAGCAGGACTTAGAAACCTCAGGTCTTTTTAAATGTTACCTTCACACAGTTTCTGCACATGTCCTCATGTTTATTCCTAGATATTTCAAAGTTGAGGAGTCATTGTAAAAGGGATAGCTTTTCTCATTGTATTTTCTTTTTTTAATTTTTTTTTTAATGTTTTCTTTATTTCTAGGAGAGAGAGAGAGAGCGTGAGCAGGGGAGGGTCAGAGAGAGAGAGTCACAGACTCTGAAACAGGCTCCAGGCTCTGAGCTGGCAGTCAGCACAGAGCCCGATGTGGGGCTCGAACCCACGAACCGCGAGATCATGACCCAAGCGAAAGTCGGACACCTAACCGACTAAGCCACCTGGGCGCCCCTCTCATTGTATTTTCTGATTGATTATAGCCAACACAGACAGCACTACTAACTTCTGTATGAGGAATCTGCTTCGAGAAACTTATGGTACTATCTTTAGTTCCAATACACTTTAGTTGATTCTTCTGGATTTTCTAGGAATATAAATAATCATCCTGTCTTCAAAAATGACATTTTTGTCCCTATACCCAGAATTTATGCTTTTTATTTATTGATCATAAAGCACCTGGCTAGAACACCCAAAACAATGGTGAATAGAAGGAGTAACACTGGGTATTTTTACTTTGTTCCTGAGTTTAGTGGGAATATTTGAAATGTTTTTGCCACTAAATATGACACAGAAGTATCATACTGGTCAATACCCTCTACGAAGTTAAAGAAGTTTCTTTCTACTTGGAAGGTAAGAATTTTAAACTAGAAATGGGTATTTAAATTTACCAAATATTTTGGTATCAACATTATCATATATTTCCGCCTTTATTCTGTTAAGCAGTGTATTATTACATTAACAGATTTCCTGATGACAAGCCATCATCACCTTGCTGGGATAAACCTATACATAATGTGTAACAGACTAAATTCATTCATATTATTTTAGATTTTTCCATCTATATTCATGAGCAAAATAGGATACAACTTTGTTTTATTATATTGTCTTATTTGGCTTGGGTATCATCAGGGTTATGCCAGCTTTGAAGAATAAAACAGAAAGCTTCAATATTATTTTATGGCCTTGAATATTTTATAAAACAGAATTTTCTGCTTCTTGAAATTTAGGTAAACATGTCTGCAGAATCTGGGCCTGAGGCCATCTAGAGAATGAGTTTTAGAGTGCCTTTTACAGTTCCCTAAGGACTACCAGTAAAATTAAATTTTCTACCTTCTCTTAAGTAATTTGTTCATATATATACATATATATTAAATCTATTTTATCTATCTTTTCAAATGTATTAATTTTTAAATTTATAGAATGCTTATTATTTGTGTCGAGTTATTCTTCCTAACTGGAAATTAATATATAATTAAATCTTTTCTGTCTTCTTTCTCATGGTAATGCTTTATTAGAGACTATAGAACTGCGTGGTCTAATTGATAGCCACATGTGGCAATTTACGTTTATTTTAACTAAAATCAGAGTCTAAAACATCAGTTACACTAGTGACTCAATAGTGCTCAATATCATCTATGGCAAATGGCTGCCATGTCAGAACTAGAACACTGCCATCACTGCAGAAAGAGCCTTTGGATGGCACAGACCTCCAAGTGGCATTCTGCTGTAGCCCCACAGATTTTGATCAATATTGCATTTGTGTTCATTCATTGCTAGTTTGAAATTTCACTTTGTACTTCCATTTTAACCTAAATGTTACATTAAACATCTATATAAAAAGTTTTTAATTGTCAAGAGTACAGAATTTCTGGTTTGGGTTTTTATTTTTTTTATTTTTTTTAATTTATGTTTTTAAACAAGAAAGTGTTTCTTTTTTTAATAATTTTTTAAAAATGATTTATTTCTGAGAGAGAGCAAGAGAGACAGCGTTAGCTGGGGAGGGTCAGAGAGAGAAAGCGAGA